CCCACTCTCCCCGTCCCACAAGCCGCACCTCCGTGTTCCTCAGTGACCGATTTTCTTTCCCGTGGTTGGAAAATAGCTCAGGCCCTAACCCATTTCCTGGGGCACATCCAGATTAATTAGGTGAGACTGGGATGGCACGTTTCAGAATTAGGATAATATTTATCAAGCACCCTGGGGAGAAGGGGGTGGAAGGTGGAGAGGAGCAGAGGAACGGGAACAAGGAAGGGGGGTCACGAGCTGAGGGGCTGAGGGAACGGGGTGTGAGGGGGGCTGCCAGAGGGCACCGCTCCTAAGGACACCGCCTGGAAATTAGGGCCACCTCTCCCCTTGCCAGAAGGTGGGAGGACCGGGAGTGTGTCCCTGGCTACCATGCTCTTTATCAGGACCACACCGGGCAGGGACCTACCCCCAGAGAGCCTGCCTCTTCGGGAACACCTCCTCTAGTGCATCCCTCCCCTTTGGCCGCGCTGCCCAGCTCAGCCCAGCCAAGCGGGCATCTGGAAAGGATACAGTGCAAGTCACTCTCTTCACGGGGAGACGGCCTAGCTGTACCCCAGGTAAAACTCCTTCTCCAGTCGCAAGCCAGACCCAAGCACACCGCTCTCCACCGAGCCTGATGGTCTTGAGAAAAGTGTCTTTCCTCCACCCCTGAGTCCTCAGAGCCCGCGTCCTGCAGGGCTTCTTAGGGGCTGGGAGTCAAGAGCCTCTGCATCCTTCGAGAGGGGAGCGCCGTTCGAAAATCTCATCTCTGCTGCATCCTCCTTGGCTGATGAGCCCCGGGGCAAATCTCCTCGGAAATTGCCACGGACACTGTCAGTGGGGACCAAAGGGGGAGAGGAGCTGGAAGCCCTACAAAGGTGGGGACATGGCTGACCTTCACTTCTTCCTGTGTTTATGTAACGTGGCCAGGCAGTGTGCCAAGGCCTCAGGATACAACAAAGTCCCCGACAGACAGGCCCACTCCTTGGGGACCTTCCTTTCGGTATCTCCGGCCCAGCCCCGTGTCTGATCCTGGTACGGGCTGCTCAGTGGATATCTGTGGAGCCGGACTGCATTGAGCCTTAATCAAAGACTGGCTTTCCCTCATGCCGCACAGAGGTAGCTCAGGATTTCTTAACATCGCCACTGTTGACATTTTGGGCCAGATCATTCTTTGTTGTGGCGGGCTGGCCTGTTTAGCAGCACCCTTGGCCTCTGCTTACCAGAAGCCAACGGCACTTCCCTCCCCACGCGTGACTGCCAAAAATGTCTCTGGACGTTGCCAACTGCCGTCCCCCCTTGGGGGGGGCAGCATCACTGTGGAGGAGCACCCTTGGAGACTCTCTTCGCCTCCCCAAAGCAGTGGACTTAACCACAAGACCCCATCCCCCTTCACAGTCACCAGAGGGGTAGGAGTCTTTATAAAAACTTGAGAGGCAAGAAACAGAAAGAAAATTAATATATACTTTTTTTTTTGTAGTAGTAGCTTTATTGAAATGTAGTGCACCTGCCATAAAATTCATCCTTACATTTTCGAGTGTACAATTTGGTGCTTTCTCTACATTCCCTGAGTTGTCTAGCTATCCTCTGAGAACATGTTCATCTCCCCCAGAAGAAACCCCATACCTATTAGCATTCACTCCCCACTTTCCCCTCCCCCAGTCCCCAGTCACCGCAAATCTACTTTCCGTCTCTACGGATCTGCCTAATCTGGACATTTTCTGTAAATAGAATCCCGTAACACATGGTCTTTGGCGACTGGCTTCTTTCACTTAGCATGATGTTTTCAAGGCATCTATTAGTACGTCGTTGCTTTTTCAGGCTGAATAAGGAGCACCTGGGTGGCTCAGTCCGTGAAGCATCTGCCTTTGGCTCAGGTCATGATCCCGGGATCCTGGGATCGAGTCCCACATTGGGTTCCCTGCTCAGTGGGGAGTCTGCTTCTCCCTCTCACCCCTGTCCGTGCTTGCGCGCTCTCTCTCTCAAATAAATAAAATCTAAAAAAAAAAAAAAAAAAAAGGCAGAGTAAATAACCCATTGTGTGAGTATTCCACATTTTGTTTATCCATTCATCAGTCGATGGACATCTGGGCTCTTCCCACCTTCTGGTGATTATTGGTGATGCTGCTAGGAACCTTCATAGACAGGTGTTGTGTAGACATGAGTTTTTATTTCTGTTGGGTCTCTACCTAGGAGTAGAATTGCTGGTCTGTAGGGTGACTGTATGTTTAACCTTGTGAGGGACTGCCCAACTCTTTACCAAAAGGCCTGCACCATTTTACCTTCCCAGCAGTAGTGAATGAAGACTCCCATTTCTCCACAGGCTTGTCAACATTTGGTATTATCCGACTTCTTGGTGGTAGCTCTTCAAGTAGGTATAAACGGATGTCTCATCGTGGTTTTGATTTCCATTTCCCCGATGACTAATGATGCTGAGCTGCTTTTCATGCGCACACCTTCTTTGGAGAAATGTCTTTTCTATCCTTCGTCCATTTTTAAATTGGGTTGTTTGTTGTTTTTTATTGTTGAGTTGTGAGAGTTCTTTATGTATTCTGAATATAAGTCGCCTCTCAGACACACGATTTACAAATATTTTCTCCCATTCCTGATGGTTGTGTTGCATTTTCTGGATGGTATCCTGGGATGCAGACAAGTTTTTAATTTTGGCAGAGTCCAGGATTTCTACTTTTTTCTTTGCTTGCTTGTGATTTTGGTGTCATAGATACGAAACCGCTGTGAAACCTGAGGTCACAAAGATGGACTTCCATACTTTCTTCGAAGAGTTTACAGTTTCAGCTCTAATATTTAGCTCTGTGATCCACTTTGAGTTAATTTTTACATCTGGTGTGAATGAAGGGTCCAACTTCATTCTTTTGCATGTGGCTATCCGCTTTTCCCAGCACCATTTGTAGAGGAAACTGCTCTTTCCCCGTTGAGTGATCTTGGCACCCTTGTTGAAAATCAATTGACCATAGACGTATGAGTTCATTTCTGGGCTCTCAGTTCTGTTCCATTGGCCTATATTTCTGTTATAACTTTCAAGCTCCCTGTTTCCTTACCATGGGAACGTGGTAGGGAAGTGTCTTTGATAACCAGAGGAACGAAGGAAATCAAGATAGCTTGCGTGGATTTGTGGTGACAAATACAGAAAATATTTATAACATTTTGGAATTAGAAGGGATCTCATTGGAAGGGTCATGTTCGTTTAAACCCTTTGTCTTGCTGATGGGGGAGAAAAGATCAGATTTCCATTTTAGAGGTTAGCAGAGCTGCCTAAAGTCGAATAGCTCATTTGGGATTAGGACCCAAATCTCTCAACCTTTCAGGGCGGTGCGTGCTTCTCGTTCCCACGCCCTGAATCTCAGGTCCCTCACCCGGACCCCGGGTCTGCCTGAACCTCTTTCGCCAACCTCGGGAGCTCCTGTGTCCTCCCTCACTGCTTGGTCCACCCCAGGGTCTGTTCCTCCCTTTTCAGCCGGAGAGAAGAGAATGCCAGCCAGGGGAAAGCGTTTGGAATGTCTGAAATTGCTATATAAATGCCACTAAATGATAAGATTGCCAGGTTGATGCTCTTCTCCTCGGAAGGTTCAACATGTCAGAGGCAGCATAATGGAAGGCAATAATTCACTCTCAGACACGCTTTTAGACTGTGAGGGGGCAGGATGCTGGGCGCCAGAGTCCCAGTGTGAATGAAGCGGGGGGGGGGGGGGGGGGGGGGCCAGGCTGGGGGGGGGGGCAGGGAGGCTTGGGGGCGTGGCACCTTGCCCACATCTTAGGGACTCCCCGAGTAGACGGAAGAGTCCCTGCCTAGCTTGTACAAAACAGGGGTGCACTCAGAACTGGGGACCTGGCCCTAAGGTGGCCTTCCTTCTCTGGGTGGCGGGGTGTTTGTAGCTTGTCCACACTTGCCTTCGCCACCTCCGACTATCCCTGCCTGTCTGTTTTTTCCACGAATGATGGTCACACACGCACCGGTCACATAGCACCCCCTCCGAGCGAGTCCTGTTTGAAACCTTGCTTCAGTTTATGAACTCAGAAACCACGTACTGATTTCGCCGAAACTGTGAGCCATTAGGTGGTGGGAACTGTGTCCTGTTTACCTCTGGCTCTGCGGTGACGTGTGCACGCTGGGTCCTCAGTAAATGCACATTTGGTGGTTGAAGGGATGTGCTGAGTGAATACAAGTTGCTCAGAGTTCGGGTAGCTGGGTCTCTTGCAGAGGGGCATGGCGCTCCAGCTGTTGCAGCATCTCTGTGCATTCTTGTTTCTTCCTGTCCGTGTTTGTGTATTTTGTTGCCTCCTCTAAGCTCCCGCTGCAGTCACGGTCTGCACCGTCCGTGTGGTTGGGTGTTTACCTTGTTATTTGTATGTCCTGTGTTTACAGTTACATCACACCTTTCATTCATTCTTTGTTGTTGTTGTTGTTTATTTATTTATTTGAGAGAGAGAGAGAGAGAGAGAGAGAATGAGCACGAGTTGTGGGGAGGGACAGAAGCAGACTCCCTGCTGAGCAGGGAGCCCGATGCGGGGCTCGATCCCAGGACCCTAGGATCATGACCTGAGCCGAAGGCAGACGCTTAACCGGCTGAGCCACCCAGGCAGAGAGCTGGGTCCCCAGTATACAGTACGTGCTACCCGGTGGGTGTTTCTCAAAGGGGCGATTGTGCCCGTGTTATGAGTAACCTGCTGCTGGAATCGAGCCTACAGATGTTCTGCGGGGGTGTCCTGCTGGCTGGCTGGGCACACATCTGCCAAGCATAGGGGGGTGTTTGGGTAGTCAGTATTTTGAAAGGGCTCACGTGACATACATTGAAGACAGAAACCATAATCAGTCCCTGCATCCTCCCCCACCCCCGGGGACCAGTACCCGATGTAGCTGTGGCTCCTGAGAACAAAATACTGTGTGTGCGTCTCCTCCCATAGCTCTGTCCATCAAAGGGCCCACGGAAGTAAGCCAGCTCCCTCTGTGGTTGTGTCCACCTGCTCAGTGAATCTCACCGTGTGATCTCCTCCTTGTTTAGGGCTCTGGCCGACATCTTAAGACAACAGGGACCAATCCCCATAGCACACTGTGAAAGAGAAACTATCTCGGCTATCAATACCTCTCCCAAAGAGAACACACCGGTCAGATCGTCCTCCAAGAACCACTACACCCCCGTGCGTACGGCCAAGCCGACTCCAGGTAAGTGAGCGCTGATCGCCTTGCCGTGCGTCTTTGCTGGGGTGGGGGTGGGGGCGCTGGTTCGAGGTGTTGGTGATGCTTCACTCCAGTGGGGCAGGTGGTGCTCCACGGTGCTGTGAGAAGACTCTACTGGGCAGGCTGGGGCATATGGACGAGCCTGGGGACTGTCTCCTGGGGAGGGCCTGACATCAGAGAGATGGTGCCATTGGGTGTCCTGGCTGGAGGATAGCGGACGATTCAGGGCACGTGTGATTGAGTCAGTGGTTGGCATACATTCTTACCTGATAGGAGCCTTGTGGCGGGCGTGGTGGAGTGTGGTCCCCCACTTGCCCACTGGATGGGATGGTTTAGGTTGCCCAGGACGCCAGAGACGTAATGAGAAATTGCCATAGTCAGTCCCAACTATTGGAATGTACTTCCTGAGAGTAGGGATTATGTCTGTATTATAGGGTGACCTTGTCCAGTGCTCTGTAGATTCCCCCGAATATATGATGAGTTGCCATGTTCTAGCAGTCATCACGATAACCCCACGAAGGAAACGAAGCAGGGTGTATTTTTCTTGCCATATGGATCAATAAATGAAGCTCAGTGAAATTTAGCGCCTTGGGCAAGAGCACTGAGATGTTAATGGTCATGAAAACATCAGCGATACGGTGATATAACTCCCATTTATTTGGGTCTTGCTCTGCGCCAAGTGATATGCTGAGCATTTTACGTGGATTTCCTTACTTGTCCTTCACAGCGATCTTAAAAGGACTTATATTGTCCCCATTTCATAAGAGGAACAGGAAAGTTCAGCAGTTTTTCCCAAGGACACATGGGGAGGAAGAAAGCCAGGCTCCAGACCTAGACATAGAGGTTGCAACAGTCAGGACTCAAAAATCCTAACATCCTAAACCAGTTGGGGACATGAATCCAAAGGGTCTGAGTGGATAGTCTCCTTCCAAGTGCAACTTGGATCTGAAAGCTTGACATCCATCACCCTAACGCCTTTTGGAGGATGGGGCTATAGGGGTCTGAACTTTACCTGCTGGAAGGATGCGCAGTCAGTCGCTTGGTGCCAGGAGGTATGGGCCAAATTCAAAAGTGTAGTGAACATGCTGCTGAGATCAAATTTCTTTTCCATTCATTCTTGAACTTGCTTCAATTTATTTAAATCAGAAACCACGTACTTGCCTTTCAGGTAATCTACTGAAACCGTTTGAGGGTCTGATAGAAGGGAAGGACATTCATCTTCAAAAATATGTACCTATACATAAACACGTGTATTCATCCAACATTTTTAATACAATATAACGGGATTCGCGGACCTTTCCAGAGTTAGAAATCCCTGATTTAAAAGTAAAGACGAGAGATCTAAGATGCACTTTTAGCCTTACTATTATAGATGCTTAAGATGTCAGCAATGGAAGGAATCTTGGCAAAAACATCCAGACCAGGAGTGATCGATCTAGCTGCACATCAGGATCACCTAGGAGCTCTTGAAAATGCTGATTCCTGGGCCGTACACATTAACCCGAATTTCCAGGGATGCTACTGACATCATTGCTTGTGAAAACCTTCCCAAGGTGATTCTAACCCTCAGACAAGGTGAAGAACCATTGATCCAGATGGATTCCTCATTTTATGAGTAAAGACCCTAAAAGGCTCTCCGGTGGTTCTCAAACTTGCCTGCATGTTGGAATCACCCCGGGGAGCTTTCAGAACGAGGGATACCTGAGTCCCACACCCAGAGACTGTGATTTAATGTATGCGGGAGTGTGGCCCGAGCACGAGGCAGGGAGGTGCGTGCTGAAATCTTCCCAGCTGATTCTACTGTGGAGCAAAGTTTGAGGATCGCCGGGTGGTGGAAAATGGCCTAACCATACCATTCTAACCAATCCTTGTTTTCGTCGATCACTGTTTAATCCAACCTTGGTGTTATGATTAGGGTTGAGGAGGGTATTTTTGTTGTCCTGAAGACTCACGGTTTGAAGTCAGGCTTCCCCAGAACCACATGTGCAATCTTGGAACTTCAGGTCACCCTGGTGTCCAATGTGCCCCGGGAGTTTACCCCGACCCCACTGTGCTCTGATTTCCTCTGTCTCATTCACCAGCCTGCTTGCTCCCAGCTGCTGAATCCAGGCTGATTAAGTGGACAGTCCCAATTGGCTCTTAGATACATTTCTGGGCAGGAAGCTTTGTCATTTATTCTGGTCTCGGTGTATATCCTCTCTCGGTAATCCAAGAAGGAAAACTTACAGTTCCGTGATTCACTTCCGTGCTTGTTCGGAGAAATCCCACCCTGTATTTCTCCACCTGCGACTCTTCACTTTGTCTTTCAAGACGGGCCTGGTTTCCCTGGTCCAGAGAGTGCTCTCAGTAGTGGTGACACTTAAATTTAAAAGCAATTTTGTAACCCTCAAATGCCTACAGCCTCTCATGGGCTCAGCGGCTTTTCCATACAGCTGCTGATATCCTTTGCCACAGGATGTTGCAATTGGAGCAGAAGTTTCAACAGAACTTTCCCAAAGTGTCCAAAGGGGAGATTCACTGTGATTTTTGTCACCCCTCGAATCAACGAACCGCTGGTCGGAGGGGTACGGTGGCAGAAATACCGGGAGGCATCATAGGAGTCATTCTGCTCCTCAAAGTGAGGTCCGTAGACCGCCTGCATCAGCATTCCCAGGGGGTTCGTGAGAGATGCGGTGTCTCAGGCTCCAGCTCACCTGCTGAAGGAGAACCTGCGTTTTTAAAAAAAGATTTTATTTATTTATTTGAGAGAGAGAAAGGGCACAGAGGGAGAGGGAGAGGGAGAAACAGACTCCCCGCGGAGCAGGGAGCCCAATGCAGGGCTCGATGCCAGGACCCCGAGATATGACCTGAGCTGAAGGCAGACGCTTCACCGACTGAACCACACAGGCGCCCGAGAACCTGCATTTTAGTGAAGTCATTTAGCAAGGGAAGTTAGAGAAGCGTTGGAAAAGCCTGGGCTTTGAAGTACAACCCCCTGTCTGTTTTCTGGCCCTGTGACTTACTCCGTATATGACCTTGGCAGGCCGCTTGGTCTGAGTGTCCTTGTCTGCCCTTGAGGCTAATAGTACCTGCTTCCCTGAGTTGTTTTACGGATATAATGAGTTAAACCAACTAGAAGACTTAAAACTGGTCCTGACGCATAGCACACACTCCCTGTGAGCTGTGACCGGACTACAGAAGTATATCCACAGCTCATGGCAAGTTAGTAAAAAAAAAAAAAAAAAAAAAAAAAGAGGGAAAACCAAAGGCATTGGTATTCTTAGACAAGGCAGGGTCCGTGGGGTTGTGTCCGAGATGAAAGCCCCTGGACCCAGGCCTTCCTGTGCTTGGCCCCCACCCACAGGGCATCTTCTGAGGGCGAAAGTGGTTTGTTAGGCTTTGTAGGGCTCCATCCAGTTTTTGGATGCCCAAAGCACATGCCTGGTTAGATTAGGAAATGGGGTAAGTCCTCCCTTAATAATCATAATGCAGAGAGAACATGAGTAGCAAAAGTACCATTTGTTGAGCACCTACTATGCGCTGGGTCCTCTGTTAAACACTATTTAAATTTTTATTTTATTTTATTTATTTTAAATATTTCATTTTTAAGTAATCTCTACACCCAGTGTGGGGCTCGAACTTAAAACTCAGAGATCAAGACTCGCGTGCTCTACCAGCTGAGCCAGCCACGCACCCCTAGGGTTTGATTTTAATTCCAGGAGACACTTTATTACACAGGTGGACCCTGTAAGTTTTCTTAGGTATAGGAGCTCCTGTCCCCATGTTAGAAAATTCCTCTTTCCTTCTGGAAGAGCCTTTTAGCTAACGCTTCCAGAAGTCCCTTCTCGACTTTGAAGGGAGATGCATGATGGACAGTGTGGTCCGTGAACCGGCTGCGACTGCATCCCCACGGGAATTGGTTAGCAACGCAGAACCTTGGGCCCTTTCCCAGAAGTACTGAGTCAGAATCTGCTCTTTAACATGATCTTCAGATGATGCATAAGCGCATTCAGGTGGAAGAAGCTCCTTTTAGCGTAGGGAGCCTCAGCCCTGGCTGCACAATGGACTCGTGTACACAGTGCCGAAACTATTCATGCTTGGCTCTCACCCTCAGAGATTCTGCATTAATTGGTCAGGAGTGGTACCTGGACATTGGTATTTTTCAAGAGCTTCCCACGTGGCCGGTTCTCACGTTCAGCAAACTTGGAGAACCGGAGCTGAGAGGGAGACTGGCAAGTGAGGGAAACATCTTGAGGGCTGTGGAGCGTGGGTGCACCTCAAGATGCACAGGCTCAGGCCCCGCTGGTCCAGGTTAGCGGGCTGCAGAGACGCGTCCTCCCCACGGCAGGCAGGGCAGAAGGAGTGGAGGACACAGGTATGCCGAGGGGGAGGGACCAGTCTGCAGCTCTGATGGGGTCACTGTGCAGCAGTGGGGATGAGCAGAAATACCAGAATGGATCGGAGGGTCGGGCAGAGCCAGGCATCGGGAAATGCACCAGGATCTGGAGCTGCAAGTCCCCAGAGGCTCCTAGGGGGCCGGGGGAGGGGACGGGCTTGCTTGGTCTTCAAGGGTGGGGAGGAATGGAGACTTAGCATCTGCCTGGCCTGACTCAGCCCTAAAGAGCCTGGCTGGGGGCCGCTGGGGGACAGCGGGGTACCTGTCCCTCCCAGTAGCAGGTGACACCACGTGTTGGGGTTCCAAACTTTTGATACCCAACTTCCCCCCTTATCAAGAGTGGCCTCAGCTGGAGGAAATAAATATTTATGTCCCGGCCACACACCACTGTGAGTTGTATAAATGAGCAATCAGTCATCCTGCCTCTTGTCAAAGCTGTGTGTTATAATGGCAGACGAAGGGAGCCAAGGGACGTGACTGTTTAAGCTTTGTGGAGACTGGGAATGAAGCATGGGCAGCTGACAGAGGGGCGCTTTGTCACAGCTCCGCGTAGCCGGGCCCCTCGCTGTTCCTGCCACCTTCCGTGTCTCTTGCTGGAATCCAGACCCTA